AAAAAAAAAAAAAAAAAAAAAAAATCACAGCTCTGTAATGATCAGACTGATGACCGGGGGCTGATAAATGTGGAGTGCTTGTCTCCTTTGCACCTTCCCAGGGCATGTGTGAGAACCCAAGAGAGCTGGGGGCACAAAGCATCACTGACGTTGGCTGAGCTTCCCATACAGCCTGCGGTGGCGGGGGTGGGCACTGGAGCCAGACGGGCTTCCTCCATCCACCCAGTGAGAGTTTGGCTAGAACTCCCAAAGGGTGTCCTGGTCTAGAAGGAAGTGTGTGCCAGGAATTCTTGGAAAAGCAGTGACTGCCAGCCCCCAGCTTGGACTTAACCCAGGAATCAAAGAGGCCTTCTTTTATTCCAAGACAGGCAGGGAAGGCTGAAAGCCCTCTCAGTAACTATTCTGGGGGCAAAAGAGGAAGAAAGAGAACACAGGAAAAACCCACCTAGATTCTGTGCTAGGAGGAAGGATGGGGCTCAATGTCCAGGAGGCTGTAATCTGGACTCAGCCCAGCACTCCCTCAACTGAGAAAGGGAAAGCAAATCTACCAAACAAGTTTAAGAGTACCCCTGACTCAAGAACTCATTGTCTTCTGAGGCTCAGGTCAGGCTGGCAGGGGAAAACTGGCCAGAAAAACAGTGTTGCCTCAGTACCTTCCTTTGCAAGGTACTAAGAAACCCTACAGGAAACTATGATTCATCAGGCCATTATGAGTTGCATGCCTGACCAGAGATGGCATCAGACCCAGATAAGGGGACATTTCCACTTAAGATAACATTTCCAGATAAAAGAAACCTACACTAAGAGCAGGACGGTTGCATCTGGGTGGGCAGCATGTGTGTTGCACGAAAACACCAGGCTGGGGGGATGGATAGGGTTGAAGCTCAGACCCCCGACTCCCCTCACCAACCGTGTAGCTGGTGCAGGACTGCATCCACACAGAGTTTTGAAAAAGGGTGCCTTTTGCTAATTCTCACAAAGGCCCTGTATAGGCTGGGAAACAGCCCAGCGTAAGGCGTGTGGGTGGAGGTTAGCAATCCTCCTACCCCCAGGTTAGCCAAGGGGTCCCTTAAGAGGTGGAGCCTGGCTCAGCCTTGAGCATGGAGACACTCATCAGTGACCACACCATGCAGAACAAGGAAGCCAGCCCCAGCGGATGAAGACTGTCGCTACTCAAGGGTTATCTCAAGGCCTGAGCTGGGAACGAGGATGGCCGTTTGGGGGTGACCTTTTCAGAAAAGGGGCTTTTTCTGGTTCCTTGTCATTGACTTTGTCACCAACTGCAAAAGGAAGCAAAACATCCACAGATGACTTCATATGACTACTATAGTGACTCCTGGGCAGATATTCCCAAGGAGAGATTCATGATTTAATGTTCCATCTTCCATCATTCTCTGAGCCCTCACTGGGCTTCCAGCAGGAGAGAGGCCAGCTAAGAACATGAAAAAGACAACTAAATACTGCACGGTTGTCCCCACCCCACCCCCTGGCAGGGATCCCGTGAGCCAGAGGCCTCCCTCCTGTCCTGCAGGTGATATTTTATCAAATGGGAGAGTGGAAGTGCCTTCCCTCTCTTTCTCTTTCTCTCCTTCACGCTCACTGACATCACTGTACCCAGCGCATCACTATGCATACATCCCAATTACCCCATTTTGTTTTTAAGTCTACCTTCTCCTTGGGAAATACAGCAAATAAGAATGCTTCTCATTCAATTCAGAAAGAGCTTGCTGCTTCCTATGGGTGAACACGTGGTTAGGTCCTGATCACGCGTGAGGGACTCATAAATGCTGCCAACTGACTTTTTGGAAGGAATATTGGCAGGTGGAAGTGCCGGGTGACACTGGACCCAGGTGAGCCAAGTGAGGTTTACAGAGGGCGGAGGATCTAAGAAGCCACAACTTGCCCTGAGGACAGTGTATGTGGATGAAGCCAGGAGAACAGAACTGCCAACCTCTGGAGCAGGGAAGCCAGTTACAACACAACTCAAGCTTCAAGCCATCCAGCTGCCCCCTATGACTATCATTCTGGTATGAGAGACCATTAAAGAAGGGGCCACAGATCAACTAGGAAAAGAGATGAACTTCAATGTATTCTCCAGTGATGGATGACGATACAACAGAAAGATCCCCTGAATCAAAAGAACTAAGACAGGTTAACAGGCGGCTCTGAAATGAAGTCTCACTGATGAGCATATATTTGCTTTAGAAGCAAGTGAAGTGTTTTTTTGGGGGGTTTGTTTTTTCCAGATTTGAGTCTCTTAAAAGAGGATATAGTGGGTTGGAAAGATTTTTTTTTTTCTGTTCCTAAGAATTTTCAACAGCAACAAACTTGGCTCTCTTGTAATATCAACAACAGTGCAAAACACTTGGCCTTGAATTTGAGATCTGGGGATATTAACAGCTTGATTACTTAGCAGGTTTCTTTCTTACCCGAAATGTTAATTTACTTGAGAAAAATAGAGACAGGAGGCTATCACTTCACTGTGTAAGTGAAGGGCAATCAGTATGTTAAAAGACTGATTCTAGGGCTTCCCTGGTGGCACAGTGGTTGAGAGTCCGCGTGCCGATGCAGGGAACACGGGTTCGTGCCCCGGTCCGGGAAGATCCCACATGCCACGGAGCAGCTGGGCCCGTGAGCCATGGCCGCTGAGCCTGCGCGTCCGGAGCCTGTGCTCCGCAACGGGAGAGGCCACGAGAGGGAGAGGCCCGCGTGCTCCGAAAAAAAAAAAAAAAAAAAAAAAAAAAAAAAAAAAAAAAAAAAAAAAAAAAAAAAAAAAAAAAAAAGGCTGATTCTAAGCAGCTTCCTTCATGAAAAGGGGAAATCCAACCTGGGTGACATTCGCCAGGTGGCTGCCTGAGTGCCAGTGTGTCAGCCTCTGCCTATGAAATGAGTAACTTCACTTCCGGGTATAGTGTTTTCCCCTAACACCTACACTTCAACACAAAAGGCATGCACAAGAGATACAGAGAGTGTGCTTCCAAATCACTCAGCTGGGTCACAGGCAAAGTGGTCCATTGGTTCTTCCCCATCTACACATCCCAGCTAACTTCCACCAAAGGTGCTGATGTATGGTGTGGAATCATTGAAGAAAAGCCCCTTATAGCCCTAAGCTTCAAGGTGGTCACAGACTCCAGAAAATACCTAAAAAGAAGAGCCAGATAAAGTGACTTCGTGGACAGAAAAAGTCCTACAGGCTCAGAGAAGGAGCCCTGGCAGTTGAAACCTCAGCAGCAGCCATCAAGGGCCAGGCCCATCCCACTGTACAATACAGGGAACAGCCCAGAAATATTCCAGCCCAACAGAGGAGCTGGGCCAGTATTCCAAGTAATTTAGGCCTCAAACCCAAGTGAGAGGAGACTGAGACACACCAAGTGGGTCATTCAGCTGCCACAGGTGTGTTTGCTTGCTTTCTTTACCACTAAGTGTTCAGTATCTGGCTTCAACTCCAGAAAACCTTTAACTCAGCCAACTTGGATACGACAGGCAGTGAATCAGCATGGAATTCCTACTGTGAGCCCCATCGCATTCAAGTTTAAGGTGACCAAATAATTTAGCATCCAAACTGGGGCACTTTTAAGAGGGAAAGGAGATGATGCTATTAATAATTACTCCAGGACAACAGGCATAAACCAGGACTGTCCTGGGTCAACTGGGGAGTATCCTCAACCAAACCAAGCTATTTGGGGGGAGGAGGTAGTTACCTCAATAAATGCTAATGGATTCCAAGGAGGCTGGCACGGACCCCTGAGGCTGATCCCCAGGCTCCTGGCTGTGCAGGCTGTGGGCAGCACTGGCTCTTAAGCCGCTTACTGGAGAAAGAAACCACGGAGCAGATGACTTCCTTTGTGGTTGGTGGGAACGTCACGTGCAAAGTTCTCGGGGTTGAGGGTAGCTGGGTAACTATGCGGTTTTTAACTGTCATTTTAAGTGGCTCTCTCCTGCCAGACTGTACACACCGGCTTGGTAACAGCCCCAAACATACTGTCTTCCGAGCACTGTGTACCATTTATAGGGATCGCCCAGAGCAGACACTGAAGGAATAGCATCGTCATAGTTCTCTAGAGAAATAACATCCCTACAGAACAGGCGAGCGATGGCTGAGATCAGCTCCCCGGTGCCTGCAGGTGATTTCAGGGAGCTTGTGTCCTTCCTCCCGCATTGCCCCTGCGCGGTGTCTTTCTACACACACACCCCACACCTCACGCACTAGCCGTACCAGTAGACTCAAACTAGAACTTGGCAGCCAGAAGACCCACCCTTTGCATGATCAAAGCTTCTGAGAGCAAGGCAAAACCCCCAACCCAACTGCAGGCATGTTAAACCACACATTTGAAAATTGGTGCTGGAACCACAGTGCTGGCCAGACAACCGCACACACATCCATGCCTGAACCGGAGTACCGTACGCCGTACTGAAATTCACCCTTGGACACGGGAAAGAGGAAAGGAGGAGAAACTTACACTACTATCATCCATTCTCTCGCGCCTTTTAGATTTGTGTGTCTCATAGTCTTCCATGAGGGTCTGCATCAGATTCTTGGGCCGCTGTGATCCGGCAGCCTCTTCGGGGGCTAAGTCAGGCTGCAAGCTGGGACCTTCAGGTGTGGGGGATGGAGGAGGTTGGACTTTCTCTATTTTCCCTGAAACAACACGAAGAGAACACCCTTTCTAAGCTTGTCTGGTCACGACTGCTTTCGAAAAGAAGAGAACACTGGCAAAAAAGCAACCTCTGACATACCGAGTGGTACCAGAATGATGGTTAAGTGCAGGTCATTTTATTACAGGGATCAATGTGCTTAAGGATTAATGTCACAAACCCATCCAACAAAGACCTCAAGGAAACCGGTTTTAGAGTCAGTCAGACCAAAGAGGGCTCTCAGGCACTTTGCAGATATATGCCAGACAGACAGACAAACAGAGAGACGGACAGACAGATGCTGGCTCCAGTTGTTTTGGGGACAAGTATTCTATCACAGATCATACAATCAGACTGTCAGAGGTGGCGGTGCCTCTGAACCTTAAAGACCCATTTCTTACAGATAAGGAAAACTTAGGCTCGACAAAGGGAAGGCTGTGCTGGGCCACCAGGAGCTGGCGATGGTATCCAGGCCTCCTGGTTTCCTTCCCTCTTTCTTCTCTATCAGAGGTCACCAATGGTCAGATGACCAGCCTGGGTTTTTTGTATGGACAACACATGTTGTAAAACCTCTGAATGAGAACTAAGCTGTTCTTCCCAGGTCACTCCAGTCTTACATTGGCCAGCTTCATTCTTTACCTTACCTGCCACGGTCCTGAAAGCACTCAGGTTTGAGATCCCGGATCTTAAGGAATGAATGGCAACAACAGCAGCTTCAATGTTGTAGAAAGGGGGTGCGTCAGACTTGGGAAAGGTGAGGTTTTAGTTTTTGAGATGCCATACAGGTATTCTCAGCATGAGAAGACTGGGTCCACAGTCGTGGTGTGGTGATGCCAGGCACTGTCACTAAGACCGCCTGCATCCCACCCTCTTGGGAAATGCCTTCTGGCCAATGAAGGAGTGGGTTATATTGCCAGAGCCCCAAACGCACCTCTGAGAAGTACCTTCAGGTGCAACCGTCATGATTTTTCCAACTATGCCCCTTGTGGGAGACACAGCTAGCGTCTGCGAACAAGGAATGTGGAGAAAACACACACAAAATAAATGGATATTTCAAGCACAAAAGTTCAGAAACCACCAGGGGAGGTTAAAGACCCATTTGACCTCCTCCAGACCCAAAATGAAGGCAGCTCATCTTTCTTTGCCTCACTCCCCCCGAGACTGCCTGATGGAGCTGGAATCACAAGTGAAGCCTGGGGTCCATGTCTCTGTGTGGGTGGCTATAGGACTTTACTGGGCATAGGTCCTTTGATGGGAGTCGGGAAGCCCCCCGGAGTTCAGGAAGCCCGAGTTTTAATTTCTGCTCTTCCGTGAACCAGCCATGAGGTTGGCTGTAGACAATCGTGTAATGTTCCCCCTTTAATCTTGAGCTGATCACTTAAGTTCTCCAAGTTTCAACTTCCCTAGCTAGAAAATGAGAATTTGGGGAGGAGTTGTCTTGGAAGTCCATTCTAACTCAAACATTTTGCTATTCTATCAAATACATTTGGCAAGAAGATCAACCTTTATTGATTAAAAAAAAAAGTATACGGCCAGCACATTTGGCAGTTAGGTGGGGAAGTGGTTTTTAATACAGACACTCCATCTGTAGACCCACCATTACATTACTGAACTCAGTGAAACTCATTGCTTTGACCTCCATTACCCAGATCATTGATAAAAAGTCTTTTGATATTAACAGTAAGGTTACAAATATTTTAAGGTCTTCAATCTTCAAATTCTCTAGAAACGGTTTCTATTTTTTATTATGGAAATCAGGGAATGCTATCATGACACCTATGGACCCATCAACTACATTAAACATTTATCAAGATTTTACCACCCTTGCTCCATCTATCCTGCCTGCCTTCCTCCCACCCTCCTGTACTAAAATGTTTAAAGCAATCTCAGACCTCAGGCAATATTACCCCTGAATATGTCGTATGTATCTCTAAAAATTCTGATTGACTTTTATTTTATTTTTAACTTTTATTTATTTATTTATTGGTTGCGTTGGGTCTTCATTGATGCACATGGGCTTTTTCTAGTTGCGGTGTGCGGGGGCTACTCTTCGTTGAGGTGTGCTTGGGCTTCTCAATGCGGTGGCTTCTCGTTGCAGAGCAGGGGCTCTACAGCGCAGGCTCAGTAGTTGTGGCGCACGGGCTGAGTTGCTCTGCGGCACGTGGGATCTTCCCAGACCAGGGCTCGAACCTGCGTCCCCTGCATTGGCAGGTGGATTCTTAACCACTGCGCCACCAGGGAAGTCCCTGATTGACTTTTAAAATGAAGCTTTGAGAAACAATACAGCCCAGTGGTGAGCATGCAGTTCTAGAGCCAGCCTGCTTGGGTTTGAGTTCATTAGTTAGCAGCCAAATACCCTTGGGGCAAGTTACTTGCCTTTTTTTTTTGAAGTTTTTCTATCTCAGTTTCCTAATCTGTAAAACTGGTATGTTGATAGAAGTACCTACCTCATACGGTTGGTACAAGAACTAAATGAATATTTATAAAGTTAATATTTAGAATGGCAAGCATCCAATGAGTCTGGTTAGTATTTATTTGGAATCTCAAAGAATAATATGTCTATGGAATAAGAATGAGCAATTTCATGGGAAATTCTGCATAAAAATTTCACAACTCTTCTAAAACTAGAAATAGATACCACATGACCAGGTTGGTCACTTTCTAATTGACCTCTCAAGTGTACAAATCATCTCCCACCAGCCAATCCTCCAGCACTAAACTTCTAGAAAGCATAGTACATATTCACTGCCTCTAACTTCACCCTTTCACATATACCACCCCTGCCTCATAATACTTTATACTTCTGGGAAAGCCTTTTCTACATACTGACTGTATCAATCTGGTTGTTTAAGCTTTTCTTCTCAATAAAGCTGTAAAGTCACCTGAAGACAGGGACCATTTCAATCGGCTATGAATCCCCCTAACTCATTTGAATGTAAACTCCTTTAGAGGAGGACCTTGTCCGTCCCGGTCAATGCTGAATCCCACAAGGCAGGAGTTCAGGCTGTTGAATGAATCAGCAAGTCCATTATGAAATATACAGAGCAGCCACTTATTAAATGCTTGTGGACTGGGACAGAATTCCCAATACAGAATCTGAGGAAAGTGTTTAAATGTCTTCACCAAAGCACATGAAATAAAACAATTTTGGTCTACAGAACCACAGACGCGATGGCTTTGGAGTAATAACAAACACATTTATATGGCATTTCATCGATAGGCTTCATGTCATTTGATCCTTACAACCACCCTGGGATGTAGTCAGGGTGAATGTCATGACATCTCTGAACAATTTAGACCATGGAGGCTCAGATGCTTAACATCAATCCAAATTACATTAGTTAGTAACAATCAGAGTCAGGTCTGGAACCCAAATTGTGTTGACTGTTGCTAAATTATATAACTGGGTGTGTGCTGAAAGAGAATCGTAAAGAGGGTGAAAAGTTACTATAAAGAAGCGGACATTTCCTGCTCATTTCTTAGTATGCCAGCAAAATGAAACCCATCCCCGGAGTAAGTTTTGCCGGTTACAGCCACTAGAGGTCACATGAGTAACAGGAACCAAAGACTAGCTTAGCGGGTCTGGAGCAGTGTCTTCCAAAGAGAAGGTGGCTGAGAGGTCTTGGAGAGAACAGAAGGGTTCAGATAACCAAGGCCACATCAGAGCCTCAGGAGAAGCTGTCACAGGTCTCCAGAGAACGGGCGCCCCAACCCTGGACTTCTGGGCTGGTTGACATCTGGGGAAGTTGGCTTGGCTGGGCTTCTCTACCGTGATCTCCAAGCATCCTGCCTCCAGTACGGTTCCAACCATGACTGGAATTCTCACGCAATCTTAGGAATCACACAGGCCATCAAAAAGCTGGAGAGGGACCTAGCTTGCAGCCTAATCAAATTTTCCCTTTGATTAGGATGGTGAAAAAACTTCTCATGCTCTTCCACCAGTAATAGACACTGCAGACACCACCACTGTTTGGGCCTTGGGGATCATGACATAAATGTGATGCAAAGCTTGGGAAGTCTGTCTCATCTTTTATGGCCTTGGAAAGCACTTTGAAGTTCCTTGGCCCTGAGGACAAATCTCATTAGAATCCCCAAACAATGACGGTTATCTTTGGTGTTCATTGGCATGCATCCAGCACTTCCCCAGTACCCCCAGGTCCCATTCCCACTTGTCCCATCAAAACTTGTTCTCATATAAGTCTATTCACCTGGTGAATGACTGAATAGCTGACGGTAGCTGAAAGTGGCCTCTATCTTCAATGATAAACATCCTGCTATCTAGTTTCTCACCTGGGCTGAGCACTCTACAAAATAGCACTCTTGAAGGATCCCAGAAACAACATGAACAGTAAGTGTCATGCAGACCTCAAGGCACACCTGTGGTGGTCTTGGCTAAGGCCTGGTCCCTGACATTTCCAGAGCAGGGAGCAGGGGCAACGTGAGCTTAACTGACATAGGAACCAACAGAAGAAAGCTAGACTGGAATTCAAAGTGGACGGTAGAAAACATACTCGAGTTTACTTCATACATATGATTTTGTCCAAACTATTCCATCTAGAGTAATTTTAAACTTAAGCATTTAAAGATGTTTGAGGATAAGCCGCTTCACGTGGCTGGGATGATTCCAAAGCCGTGTTTCTAAAATCACGTCCTATTACCTTAGCTTTGTTAAGAATACTACTCGACGCTGCAAACGGTCAAAAGGTCATTGGTCAAATAAGTTTGAGAAACACTCGACTAAAGAAAGCTTTAACGATAAAACGAGATAGATTTCCTTACCAGGGGACTTCTCTAAGGTTTTAGTGCTAATATGATTGTGAATCTCTAGGAATGGGGGTGCAGCGTTTCTCAAATTTATTTAACCACAGAACCTCATTTCATAGAATCCCTATTAATATCTCGAGGAAAACAATTTGGAAAATACTATTCTCTAGTGTATACTAGTTAACCACTAACTACTAACTTATGGGCACAAGTTCAACTAATAAGTATGGGCACAAAACT